GTATCAAAGGCTGTCGAGGCTACGCGCTTATTATGAGTTTCATTCAGGGATTCCATGGACATGATGGACGTGTCTGATATCGACGAACGCGAACACAGAGAGGATGACGCAATCGGCAAACATGCATCTTTAGAACGGGCCGCAGCTTTCTTGTCCTTTTTTTACTGCGCTTATTTTTCTGAGGCATGTCGCCCGGAGAATGCTCACTATTGTCGTTAAGAAATTCGAACCAGTTGCGTGTAACTAAGCTGTCGTCGATTTTTCGTACGGGGGAGCGCGATCTCTCACGCGGGCATGGCCGCGCGCGGGAACACAAGCGCGAAGGGGAAGAGGAAGGATGACTAGCACGCGAACAAGACCGCGAACGTTCACTGGGCCTCTCAAAGAAACTATCAATATGTTAAGACCATAACTGTAGGGGGACGGTCAAACGTTCCACCACCTGAGGGTCACCACTAACCGGCGATCCATCCTCTCGCGGCATGACGACGGCCGAAGCCCTCGGCACAGCGCCCAAGAGGACCGCTGATTTCACACAACCACTCACTTTTGACGAATTCGAAATAAAATCGCTCGAGAGATCACCGCTTTTCACAATTATGCACTAAGAAAATCGAGGCGGCGCGCCTCAACACCCGAAAACTGCGCAAACGCTGAGAATAGGAAGAGGGAGTAGACACACGTCCGCACTCTACCGTAGCTTGATCGCGAATCCATATCTTGTACTATCTACTATAAAACATAGCATATAAGATAGACTTCACATCGACTGGATTTTCCGGTGGAATGGGCGTCCATGCCATGGTGCAGGGTTGTGTTTGATACGCACTCTAGAGATTTTCTACGTATCCTATACGTATGATACGTATTAAATATTGCGTATCATACGTAAGATACGTATTAAACTATGTATGATATCTTTGATATTATAATCTTAATCTTAAATCATTGTATTTTTTTTTTAAAGAATTAGTCTAGTTATTATACTGTTATTAGTTACATTAAAATATATCTTTTTTATACATACATATAATAAAACTATATGATTTTTGTGTTTATTTATTACAGTTATGACTTACTAATGTACGTACATACTCAACATCTGTAGCCTCAAATATGATAACCTGTATGTATAACATACCTATATTTGTCTATATATATCTGTAAGTCCTATAACGGCTATAATATTATAAGTTTTTGTATTAATATATATTTTACATATTATACAAAATGCAATCTGTAAACAAAAAAGAAAAATAATATTAAAAATGTAAGGGTATATTATATGCATGTAAGGGTATATATGCAAGGTATGTATGTGTTCAATATATGTATTATATATACTTATGATAATTTCAGTCATTTGCTGTAATATATTTTTGCTTTTATTGCGTAATTTAAAATTTGATTATGTCATAATTTTCTAATCAATTTTGAATATAGTACTGTCATTTTTCAAATTAATTAATTATGAAAGAAAAATGTAAATATATATAATATATAGTTAAAATATTTTAAACAAAATAAATATATTTCTTTATATCCTAAATCAATAAAAACTATAATTTCTATTATATGATAGTAGACATAATTTTTGTTTTATTGTATTTCTTATTTTACTAATGTAAATTTACTAAATTAAATATATTGTATATTTTATAATGCAATTTTAAAAATTAAGGTCTTTTAGTCAAGACATATATGTAATAAGTTGCTTTTGAAATACATGGAGAATATAGATCTGTAAAAGATCTATCAGCTCAGTCGAAGAACGATATTGATGTGGCACTTGCAAAACTTTTTTTGGTTGCAATGATATATTGCAACCACTCAAAATTATCGAATCAGTACATTTTAAAAATTTAATTATAGCTTCGCTTAATCTTAAGTATCACTTACCAGGAAGAAAATTTTTATCTAATAATTTATTGAATAAAGTTCACCATGAAATTGTTGAAGAACGCAAAGAACATTTAAAAGATAATTATAAATGTGTGTTACTAATTATTGATGGATGGAAAAAAATTCTGCGGCAAATAGCAAGCAAGTCGATTAATTGCAGTATTTTGCAAAATTTTATTACATATTTTGCATTGCGCAACCAATTTTCCTTTTTCATTTCTTGTTTGAATGAAAAGCCCCTTCATCCAGTACAAATATTTAGGCTTTCCGCCTTTGTGCACTCGTGTATTAAACACGGATAAATTATATCCTACTGATGAGCTGATCGTGCATTAAAAATGTGAAGTTATGATGTATGATACACATATATGTATCAAACTAAAATGGTATCATACTATAGTATCATACCACAGTATAACCAGTAGGTCCACTCAGCGAAAAACTGAGTCTTCGCGCAGGTATCGCCGCGCAACTTTTGTTTTGGGTTGGATCCAATGAAATGCAAGACGATAGGAACGTACAATACATATGTGCAGACAATTTATAAGCAATTACATCAGAAATTTTCTTTAGTGATCACTCCTACGAATAATTGTTACTAATAAAACATTTTATTCAATTGAATTTATTGATTATTACACATTGAATTTATTGATTTACTGTATCAAATCCATATTACTTATCTGTTTTATCACTTGTGAGGCACTTTTCTCAATTCGGTCCTGGATTTAACATGACGGATGCTCACGTGATCCGGAAAAGGAGATCAAAGGTGCCGACACGAAGTGGACCTACTGGTTATACTGTGATCATACGTAGGATACCTATGTATCATGCGCGTTTAATAAAAGCCCCTAGATTTTGGACAAAAACGTTTTTTTTTCTATTTAAACAAAAATGCAAAGATGCATTTTATGAAATTGATTTATTCGAATGGAGCAAACCGGGAGCATTATTTTGAGATTTTATTTATTGTAAAATACCACTTTGGTAAAAAGTTATGACCGCTTTTTGCCGAAAAGTCCCTAGATTTTTCACAAAAACGTTTCTTTTAATTTACAAAAGAAACTATTAAAAATTAATTAATAACATTTATTGCTCTGAACGGAGCAAATTTGAAGCAAAATTTTGAGACCTTGTTTGTTTAAAAATACCAATTAGATCAAAAGTTCTGGAGGTTTTTTTTTAAATTGTTTTTTGGATTTAAAAAAAAAAAGTAAAAGGGAGTAATTTTTTATATTTTAATATGAACGGAGCAAATCAGGAGCATTATTTTGAGCTATTAATCGTTCCGAAATTTTTATTTTGCGGGCTGACTTCATGAGGGTGAAAAGTGCAGATCACTAATTAGCATGCACATAGGAATATAAGAGGACAAAGCACAAAGTTGCGAAGAGGAAGCTACTGCGGGACGATGCGACGAGGTAAATTTGTGTCCAAATTTGATTGGCTGTTGCCAATCAGTTTGCGCAAGCGCAATGATATAAGTTCTCATATCCGTGTGATAAATTCGATCATATATAGGCTGCGTTCCTTTTGGCGCTTACAGCGCTTATAAGCATCATTTGTCTTTGTCCAATATTTGATAAACAACAAGGATGAAATGATTTTGTGAGCGCTGTAAGCAGCTGTAAGCGCCAAACGGAACGCAGCCATAATAGACCGACTTTTGCTGTGGAGGGAGTAAACTGGGACCCAATAAGAGTGAACCGGGCACAATCTCCCCCCGCATTTCGGCTTTATTCCCCTCGCCTAAGTTACGACTTTATGTTTTGTCCCCTTATATTCTTATGTCCATGCTTCAGAGATTATGAAAATTTCTGAGAGACAGAATCAATGACCGTGGGTGTATATACACTTTATAACTATTTTTTTATATGGCTAAAAAGAACAGACCATCGACTCGAAGTAGAATCGAGTCAACAAATCGAAAACGCTATAATGCCTATAATACATGTGCGCGCAGCGCATCATTGGCAGACAACAAAAAGCCGGTTCTACATCAGTTGCAAGCCGATCGTAAGCTCGTTGCGACAGCCAATCCGAAGCATTGATTTCAAAATGCAAGCTTCAGATTGGCTGTCGCAACAAGTTTGCAATTAATGTAGAACCGGCTTTACGCCTTATCGTGTAGATGAGCCTTTAGTTCTGATGAGGGATCCCTTTTCACTCCGCTGCAGAAAACCTATAAATCGAAATAAAACCTACCTTAACTCGAATTATTTATTAGGCATTTAGATATATATTTTACCTTTGTAACTCAAATTTAAAGTAGGCAAACCTCTACAAGTCGAAGTATCTATAAATCGAACTTCCATAATTGTCGCGATACCTCTATATAATTTGAAGTTGTAGATATATGTAATCTGGTATTTTGTTTTATAGTTACATTTATCATATGTATGCAATAAATAATTCAATGTTAAATATGGATTCTTTTTCTTCTAAAAGCCATTATAATCGGAAAATTATAAACTCTCGTACAAAGTCTCACTGTAAGTCGAATTTTCATATGTTAACCCTCTTTTACTCGAATTTTAATAAGTTGAAAACTCTATAACTCGAACAATTTTTCTGGTCCCTTGAGATTCGAGTTATATGAGGTTCGACTGTATTTAAATAATTTATACAATTAAATCTATAATATTTAAATATTTAAATTTTCTTATATTAATTTAATAAACTTAAGAACTTAAGCTTAAATCAAAACGTCTTAAAAATATTTAAGATACTTAAAATATATATATAAGGTTTTATATATGACTCATACACTTATAAACTTTTAATCATAAATTTTTTATTTTTAAAAATATATTTACATAAATATTATGTTGTATTTTTATTAATTAATTTACAGCTTAGAAGATAAATAAACTCTGCGTTTGTACAAACCTAATGTTATAAAATTATTGCCAAAATATATATATTGAGATTAATATTTTAATAAGAACATTAATTTGAATCTTAGATAAAACAAATTTAAAGTTTTGCATTTAAATTTATAATCTATTCTAAAATTTTAACTTTATGTAATTTTAGTAAAAGTATTTTATTTATTTATTTATATATTTAAAATTTTAGATTTTTTAAAATTTTCTCAGGATAAATTTGTAAGTTTTGTAATATTATAATTTTTATTTTGATAAATTGCGTCACTTTATTTTTTGATGGATTGCTGAATTTCCAGTAAGCTTTTGCCTGTTGTTTCGGGAATCAAATACCGCACATAGGGCACCGCTCCAAGTACGAAAAGCCCATAGCTCCAAAAGACAATTGTTTCTCCGGCCAAATTAATAAAAGGTTGATAGCTTTTAACGAATATAAAAGAAAATAAAGCGCTGCTCGAAAAAAGAAAAAGAGACGCCAGATTTTTGAGATTGGCTGGGAACATCTCACCGATAAGGGTGCTAGGCACCGTGGCCAGGCCACAAGACACAAATAGATTAAAGGATAGCAATGCCGTAATTGGCAACCATGTCAGTTTTTCAGAATTAAAATTCAAAGAAAGAAGATAGAAGTGAAGACCAAGAGCGATAAACGAAATAGCGACGCCGACGCTAGACAGTATTAGTAAATTTTTCCGACCAAATTTGTCCACCAACAAAGTAGCGATGAAACCAGCAACAACTGTGGCAAAACACATCGCCATTACTATAATCGACGGGGTGATGTTTACTTTGGTACTGATGACGATGATTTCTGCGTAGGCGTTTACTGTGGAGAACGAGCTTCCTTGGACGAAGACGTTCAAGCCGAACATGACCAAGATATTCTTCAAATTCGCTAAAAGAGACAAAAAGATTAATTTTAAATATATTAAAAATGATTTAATTCTTACTTATATATAAATTCTTTGCTGTATATAATGTCAGAAATATTGAACATTTGTCTTTTATATGCAGTGTATCTGTGTTTTTACGCATTTCACAATTAATTTGTATAACATATTTGGTATATATCTTTACGTTTTTGAGACATACATATAAATAAATGTAGATAAATTATTTGCATTTATTTAGCAATAAATTATAAACAAAAATATTAGTCAAAATTAGCATTTCTTTTAATTAGGCTGAAAAGAAAAAGATAATAAACATTTCTTTTATTTAGGCTGAAAAAATAAGATAATAAAAATTTCAGAAAATCTTTACATCAGCGTTGAAATTTTAAATTTTATTTAAAAATTAAAAAATTTAAAATAATAGATTTAATGTAGTAACAAACAATTAAAGCGTAAATATGCTTATATGGTTTAATATAGTAAAAAATAAATCCTGAACAACATTCAAAAGGTTTTAGCCAGGGTTGTGCATCTACGCGTAAAATATAATACTCTACATTTACGTGTAGACAACGTAAACTATTGTATGTGTCATCTATGTAGACATCTCAGTAGACTATATATTTATTCAT